CACACACACACACACACACACACACACACACACACACACACACACACCAAGATAAAAGTTTCTTGGGTCGCTAATACATTATGCTCCAATATATTTTATTAGAAATCTAATAAATTTAAAAACCTATAAAACTAATTTTTAAAACCTACCATGTGGTCGCAATCTAGCAACTTTTATTTTCTAAGCTAAATATGCTTAACCCCTGTTCTCTTCCGAGTTCCTATTAACTTTCTTGACTGCACATTCTCCCACCTATCTAGGGCTCTCCTTCCTTTTTTGTTGATGATTTTTTTTGTGCTAATCCTCTTCCCTGCTTTTACTTAAATTTTCTTGAAGATATTATTTGTTCCAATACAAATGATTGTTGCTATTGTAGAAATTGATAAGGAAATATTCCCATGTGTGAGTGCCCTCCAGAATTGTAGGTGGACACTTATAGCAGTATTCTGACCAGCCTCGGGTAGATTATCTTGAACTCAGCCTGTCCTAAATGAATGCCATTATTTTCTTTAAATGTATGACTTTCCTTCTTAGTAAATTAGTGGCTTTCTTATGCTTAGATTTATTCAGCCTAAATATTTCAGGTAGTCACTCATCTCTTTTCTTTTTTTGTATTCTGTAACTATGTTTTCTGAATAATAATGTTCATCTCAGTTCTCCATCACTGACATCATACTTTTTAACTAAAAACAAATGATGTCTCTTTTGTAAAACTTGGATTTGAGTTTTTATACTATCAGACGTAGGACTTAACTATGACTTCCATCATTTTATGACACTAACTAAAAGTTGATTCCCAAATTACGCTCTCCAAAGCAACAAATCTTCCCTGGTGCCTCAAGAATCATCTTCAATTTGACTGCAGCACTGACCATGTCATATAGTATCACCATTGAGATCATATTTATTTGTTATATCATCGTACTATTTGGCACTATCTAGAGAATTAAGATCTGGAGTCATCTTTAATGTTCCTGTCAACAACCAAAGAATAACCAAGTCCACATTGATTCATTACCAGTTTCTTTATTAATGTGCTTTAATGTGCACATGTGGATTTGCTAACACAGGATTCTGATTCATCAGGTCAGGGAACAGGCTTCAGATCTGACATTTCTGTTCAACTCTCAACAGACATGAGGCTGCTGGTAAAGACTCACATCTGAGCAGCAAGACAATAAGTGTCCTATAGGCCTTCCTTTCTCCTGACCTCCACTCTGGCTCATGTACCTGTCATCTTGTTTATTGTCCCATGGTGAATGTGCTCTGCAGATCAGTCATACGAGGTCACTTGTCCTGGTAGACTTGGCTGGTGATCTAGACTAGGTTAGGTGCCTTTCTTGAATATTCCTGATCTTTTCCTGTTTTCACACTTTTATTCATCTCTTCTAACTTGTTTTGGCTTCTCTGACTTGCTGTGCAATGTTCTTTGTTGTGCTATGCAACAAGCAGGCGTAACCTAATAACAGAACATGTTTGGCCTATGCTCTTAAGATTTACCAGACTCCAAAACAATGAGTTAAGTAAACCTGTGTTCTTTCTAAATTACTCAATATTATGAATTTTTGTCCTTGTAACAAAAAGTAGATTAAGATACATAGAGAGGAAATCATTGGCTTAGAGAGCACCCCAACATGAATTTTGGAGGAATCCTGTTTGTTCTTTTGGAGAACAGATACATTACATATGATCCTAGTACTTATGCTTACTATCAAGCAGAGATATGTTTCCATCACCTCCGAAGGTTGGGGAAATGGGTCAAAGGGATTAGAGTGTCCCTCCTAGGTTAGACACACATGTAAATAGACCTGTCCCCCAAACCAGGACTCCATTCCTCCTACGGTCATACGGATCTCTTATTGGCTAATTCCTTACCTCACAATGCTCTTTGCAGCATATTAAGAACACAAATGAATCAGAAAAAGAAATAAGAGTAAATAAAACAGAAAACAAGGCACTTGAGATCTAATTGCATCTCCTAACCTCCAGGACCCCTGTGTCAGCCAAAGGCTGTGACTCACAGCTCCCAGTGCAAACTCACAGCAGAGGTGATCACTCAGCTCAGTGAAGCCAGCCCAGGAAATCACAAGCTGGTGGGTCCAGATTCCACTAAGATACTCCCCCATTAGTCACTCATAGCCATCTTTTTTTTTCCCAGTTGAATTTTGGCTTCTGCAACCCTACTCCTCTAACTCGTGGAGACTGACAAAATCCAGGTGCTGTGGTACATAGGACCTATGTTATGATGGGACAAGAAAAGGATCACAAGTTAGAGAGGTAGTTCAGTATCTAGAGGAAAGAGTAGAGCAGCCAAATTAACTTCACAAACACAGATTAGGAGAGAAGGAAAGTATGAGAGACAGGAAAGGATTGAGACTGGTCTAGCAAGGCATCCACCCTAGTGGAGCACCAGCCAGGTCTATAAGGATCACATTGATGCCTCCTCTAAACCCATTATCAATACTCCTCAGTATGCATGTGAGGATTTGTTAGAACAGGATTCTAACCCAAAAGGTGAGGAGTTACATGTAAATTATACATTTCTTTGGGTCTCAGCAAATGTGAGGTGGCAGGTAGAGACCCACACACTGAGTAGCAAGGCTAACAAAAATCACAAATGCTATATTGGAACCCTACCCTCATTACTTCATGTAATTTCAATCACTTCCCCCAAAGCCTCACATCAAAACACCATGGATGCATGAATTAAGTCCCCAATAAATAAGCTTTGGGGGATACACTCAGAGACTAGCAGTGGGGCATTGTGTACTCTGAGACTTTGGAAACAAACCGAAGGGTCACTGAGAAGTGGTACAAGAGATGCTCTTATTCCCCTCTACTTTGTTTAGCTGCAGAGGTTGTGAAATTCTGTGGGAGAAAGCAATGTGGTTTGAGGAAAGTCTCTAGCAACGGTCCTTCATCCTAAGAAAACAGCTTCTCCCAGTGTGCGTGTGTTTCTAAGTGTGTCCCCAGAGGCATGAGTGGTTCAGGAACTTGGCACTGAACTGCTGTGTTCAGTGTGCTCCCTCACCCGCTACCTCCCAATCACCCTCCAGAGTCCCAACATGTTTTCAGGTACAAATCAAGAAACTGCCAAGTTCACTGGCTGGTAAGGGCAGCAGTTAAAAAAAAAAGCCAAAGAATGCTGTGCAAAGAAGTTTGTGGAAGGTGGGAAGCAATAGGGGGAAGGGAGAATATTTTCAGCAGCACAGAGGAACTCTGAGACCCATTTGAAAGACAGACACCTCTCTTATTGTGATTTCTACATTTATGCCTCTTTAATGGTCAGCGGAGATCAATAGAATGCCTTCTACATGGTTAATCATGTGTCCAATAGGTGGCATCGATGAACATGCTACCTATGGGATCCATGCGTTAACAGAGACGATCATTGAACACTGACTTTCACTTTTCTTTCTTTTCCTCCAGGGCAGCCACTGAAGTTTTGGCAGCTTTGCTGAAATCCAGTAAGCATCTCTTTAAAAGAGGGGCTATCTCTTCCCCTTATCTTTGTGAAAGGTACTCTTTTGTTCTGTGGCTCCATTCTGACCCATGAAGAAATAGAGAAATTCGTATCCCAAGTCTGTTGGAGAAAGAAGAGAATGTGATGGCTGTTGAAAAGCAAGTGAATATATCTGAAATGGACATGTCCACTCATATTCTATGATTATTAGTGTTGATTGTCAAGTGAACAGAATCACCTGGGAGGATGGTCTCTCGGCATGCATGTGAGAGATTATTACAATTGAATTAACTGAGGTGGGGGGATCCAGCCAAAGTGGGTGCCATCATTTCCTGGTAGGGCTCCTTCATTTGTTGCTCTCTGCTTCTTGGCTTTGTATATATCATGGTCAGCTACTTCAAGCTCCTGGTTTCTTGTTTTTGTTGCCATGATGAACTGTACCTTGAACTATGAGCCAAGATAAATCTTTTCTCCCTTGAGTTGCTTTTGTCAGAGCATTTTATCACAGCAACAAGAGAAGTAGCTAAGACAAAGACAACTGTCTTTATAAGGGAAGTAAGTTGTCTGTTGCAGCCCTTGGGACTCTTCAATTCCTTCTGACAGAGGAAGCAACCATTAAGCATACTAGAATAAATCAAAGCTTGTGGGATTGTCCAGTGGAATAAAAGGTTATGACTGGGTACGTAGCAGATTCTGGCTTTTGGTTTTAAAGTTTGCTCATGACTCTATATGCTTGGGCAGGTAGGGTGTTGGGAATTACTTGGACAATGTAGATGTTCATAAGGTTTTTTTTATTATTATTAGAAAGTTATTTCTTTCCTTGGCTATGTGAGTGATTGAAAAAAAATAGCTTGGAGGTTCTGAATTATTGTGAGGATTTTTTTTTTTTTTTTTTTTTTTTGCCTCATAGCCTTAGTCTAATTACATTGGGAGTCGATTTCACATGTGCAATATAATAGTCGGCATGATGCATTTGGGAGTGAAGTCTTGGCTTAATGTTTTTATTCTTCCCCTCTACATTCCTCCATCTGTTTTAATTTGGCACCTTGGAAACAAACTTCTTCAATGGTGATAGTTGTTTCTCTATAGGGAGCTCAGGGCCTGTGGGTAATGGGCGAACTTTAATAAAAGTTATACATAGATAAATAAATAAAAGTGAAAACACTCATTCTCTATCAAACCTATAATCTCTGTCAACCAGAAGCAAGGAGACAAAGCCAAAGTACATGATGTTTCCTTTTATAGACTGAAGCAGAAAATGAATCTTGAATTCATTTAGTTGATTGGAACTTTATACGGTATCAACGTCTGTCCACAAACACAGCTTTAGAGCACAGAGTAGACTGAAGGCAGTGAAAGCAGACTAGGAAGGGAAGAGAGGAAGTCTATGGAATTCTTAAGATGTTAATATGTTACTTGTGGGTTCTGGAGAGGAAGCTGTTGGGTATTCAGAGTCAGCTTATTGCAGGTTTAGCCTATTGATTTTCACTATGGCACATGGTGCCATCCTCCAAATGCTTGGTGTTGGATGAAGGGCGCGGAGTGTGAAGGAAATGAGTGTTGCTCACTGGGCTATCAGTGGGTGCCACTTTGAGACAGTAGCTTTCTCCTGAGTCCTCCCAGCCTAGTTTCAGCAATGGAAAACTTGACACTTCTTGGGAAGAAAACCCTGAGAGGTAAGCAGGGCCATATTACCTCCAACATACTTGAAGTTAAGTAGCCTTTCATAAAATGTACCCACGATGTGAAAAATCTAAAGGTAAAGTCTCACATTCCTCAACTTTCGTGATAAGGATCATGGAATCTTGCCCATAGTGTGTGTAACTAGGAATGGACTCAGTCACATACTGTTTTGCTGTTTTTTTTTTCACACACTGGCCAGGCTTAATAAGCTGAGCCTTCAGTGGTAGAGGGCTCTGCTCTGAGTTTTATAACTTCTATTTTACTTTTAAGAGCAGTGGCTCTCAACCTTCCTAATGCCGTGACCTGTTAAAACAGTTTCTCGAGTTGTGGTTAACCCCGACCATAAAATTATTTTGTTGTTACCTCACAATTGTAATTTGCCACAAGTTAAGAATTGTAATGTAACTGTCTGATATACAGGGTATCTGATATGTGACCCCTGTGAAAATATCAGTTGACCCCCCCAAAGGAGTTGTGACCCACAGGTTGAGAACCATTGTTTTAGACGTTGACTCTTACCTCCTGTGTAGACCCTCCCTTGGATCTCTCGGTTAGGTGCCCCTACTTTCTGCTCCCATAGGCTTTCCTACCTCAGCAGGCTGACTTCATTATACTGAAGTTTGTGTTTTCTTTCCTTTGTCTCTCAGCACGAGCTTCTCAGGGACAGGGGTTATTCCTATTGATCCATGTATTTCTCCTATTAGCACAAGGCTGAAAGTACATATTTGTTGATTACAATTAACTGATTGATTTGTGATGTTGACCCATACGGAATAGCAAGATTTCTCCCTACAACCTGAATCCAACAACCCATGTCTAGAACCGATGACCTTAACATTTGTAGTTCTAATCCCTATTTACTTTACTAATAGACTGCTAGGGAACTGAAATCCCCTTACAAAAAAGGCTTTACTGTCCCATTAGGAAGTCGTATGGGGTTGTCTGCTAATTCCGCTGAGCTGTCCATATGGGTCTTTTCCTGGGTCTTTGGTTATTTATACCATGAAACAGTTGATCAGAGGCTCTCTAATATTCTTTCTCCCACTAAATACACAACATTCATTCATATCAGGGCCGTTCTTCCTTGTTGCCACTGGCATTTTGAATGGAGTATTTCTTTCCTGTTGAGATCTCTTTTGTGCAATGTAGACCATTTAGTGACACCCCTGATCTTTATGGACTAGCATCTGGCATTGTGTTTAGATGTAATGACCCACCCCCCCATGGGAATCAAAATTGCTTCCTGTTGAGAAGGTGTTAGGGTGCACACCTGACCTCCAATCCACCCAAAGTTTCACAAGATCCTTCCCAAGATACCTGTTTCTTGGTATTTCATAAACATTTTCATGTTTCATGATTGATCTAAGGTTTACCAGCATCAAGAATCATTCATATGTATTTATAAGCAACAGGAACACAGAAGGAAGAGCATTATTGCAAACATTCACAAGTTTCAGGGCAACCTGTGGGGGAAGATCTTGAAAATCTTAAAGTAAGGAGAGGAGGGAGGTTTCATCACCAGGAGCAACTCTAACGTGTGGGTGGAAAGGTTCTGAGGTCATAGGTGAGCTCAGCATAAAAGGCTGCACTTAGCTGGAAAAGTTAGGGCCTATAAGAACAACCATAGCCTAATAGATAGGTGCCATTGTTGTTCTACCAGCCCAACCAAAGTTTACATGGCGTGGAGTATCTGGGACTAGATGACACCAATCTAGGTAGGCTGGACTTCCTGCAGAGCTTGGAGAGTCTTGGGTGTTTCTAGTCACTTATGGCATTTATCTGTCATTTGTAGCTAAGCCTTAACGTGGAATGCCTTTTAACTTGAATTGAAGAGTGAGATCCTATCAGCTGAACTAAATGCAGGAAGTTGGGTTTTTGTCTAAAATTCAAAACCACATTTAGCACAGCTCGCCTGAAAGGTCCATGCAAACTTTTAGCTGGAAAAGACATGCTTGTTTTAGGTGGCGGCTATTCTGGCCTTGATGTTTACTCGTCAGTGAGTATAAAAGTTGGCAGTTGTAGTAGATCTCGGTAACTGCTTCACAAACAGTGAACATTGCCCTGTCTAAATAAAACTAGAACAAAATATTTACTTGTTGGGGGTAGTTAGTGTTCCCATGGACTCAATACTGGGGCAGGCTGAGGTCACCAAGATCCTATTTAATCATGGCTGAATGGAGTCAATCCCCACTAGTAGCAGAAGAACCAGGACTCAGAGAGGTGTAGGCCTACCCTCAGCAAGACACAAGGAAAGGGGAGAACTTCGGATCCCATCAGGGAGAGTTTATCATTTTACTTTGGCTCTCTCTCCCTTATCAGAGGCTAGGGGAAAAGCCAGCACAGGAGATGTGGCTGTTTCAGAAGAGAAATGAAGCAAATGACATCTCAAATCTCTTTCAATTCCTGGGCAGGCAAATTTTGCTTAGAAATCTGAGACCTCATGTCCAATTGTCTCACCCATTTCACACTAGAAATGAAAAAAAATCATTGTGCATTCGAGAGTCCATTTGTTTCTGTCTTTTAGATTAGAATGGCCTGATCTAAATTCCACATTGTTCCTCAAATCAGTTTTTCTCTATGCTCACACATGCACAAATTCTCCACTAAATGTTTCTGTACTGAGAGTGTGCCTCTTTGTGTTTTATTCTATCCAAAAGCACTTAGCTTTTTATTATCAAAATTTAATAAAGCTTTGATTAAGAAATCGCACTACTTCAATTGCTTGTGCTGTTTTTCTTTAACAAGCCAAAAAAAAAAAAACGTCGTGTGAGCTCTCTCTCTTTTTCTCTTGCTTGCTCTCTCATTCCCCCCCTCTTTACACTGTGCTTTTGTTTCTCTCACTTCTCTCTCTGCCCTTCTTCCTCACTCCCTAACTCCTCTCCTGATATCACTGTTCCCAGAGTCACCCTCTCTTTGTTTTTTAACCTCCTTTGCATAAGCATTAGCCATGAATGCATTTATGAAAAATTATGACCATGGAAGCAGCCCTTGAATGAGGAGCAGCAATGGGATTATAGTTGATTTGTGCTGGCCCCAGGGATGAGTCTTCCAATAATGTCTTGGCATTAACCTTGCTGCCCAGATTTAAAGGTCATAATTTTGCAACAAAGAAACACCTTCTGGTTCAGGCCCTAAATCTTACTAAGGGAATGAGAAGTCTACTTCATACCTCTCCCTTCTTTAAGAATTAGCTTTTAGAGGATGCTGGCCATTTGCAGAGGTTAGGGGATGGAAGGAGCCTGAGAGAAGTTAGCAGAGAAAGAAACACAGAGAAGAAAGGAGGGAGAGGGGTATACCAGAGGACTAATGGAAGGTTTGGCA